CGCGTTCCACGTAACGAGAAAAGTGTTCCCGAATTGAAGAGCCGTGTTTTATAGCGAAAACGCGTAGTGTGAAAATTCTTCAAGCTTACGTTAAAATGGAAGCAGGCCAGACAAAGGGAACAAAATGCTACGAGTACATCCACGATGGGATTTGCCAAAAACAAACTGCTCCAATATCAAAACCCGAATGGTGAAATGAGAACGCATTCGATTGCATTCATATCAAAGCTATGATCAAACTACATCATTCAAGAAGCTTGTGTTCCATCATCCACGTGTAAAGCTTGTGCTTCAGTAATCCACATCCGCATGCAACAAAGCACGTGGTCTGCTTTCACATTCAAAGCGTCGTCCCGGGGACAGTAAAACGATCTCAAGCGGGCGGATGGGGTGAATGGGCGGGCGGGCGAGCGAGCGACCGGGACAAGCTGGGCAGAAGCAATTTGCCACGTGGGAAAACCACTTTGGGGGAAAGCGTTCACACACACACACACGCGCGCGGGGGCCCGGTTATCGGGGCGGAATCTGCTGAGCGGTGCGCGCTTGCAAAATGGCTTTGTCGTGTCCCACGACGACGACGCCGCCGCGCACGCCGGCAGATAACGCCGAAACAACGACGGGGCCCTCCCCTGCTTTTGCGCATTTTTTGCGCGGACCTTGCGAAGTGGTGTCATTGCGGGGCCGAGCGCTTCGCAGAGGCGTCGGCATGCTCGCGTGAAACCGTGAAGGATAGGAAGGCCTGGGAGACGGTGGAAATTTAATGCCCCAACGATTCAGGTTTTGGTCGTATTCAACCGGGGAGATTAAGTGTGAAGCATGTATTTGAGTATCCGAATCGGAATCTTTATTTGTCCTGGAGAAATACGATGAGCTGTGAAGCTCTTTTTCACGGATGTCCAGTAGGGGTGGGTCAGAAAGTTACAACAACAAACTTTCGGAGTGCAAAGTATAGGAAAAGTAAGAAAATCACAAAAAAATTACTAAAACTTTTATTTTACCAGGTAAAGCCCACTGAGCTATTTGTTTTTGAGCATTGCTCCTCCGCCAACTCTTGTCGATAGAAGTCAGCTGCTGCCAGTAGTCACGTAATTAACGGATTCCCTGTTTAGTTACATAGATTTTAGGGGCAAGTGGTTTTTGTGAGCACTTTACAAAGGCTGGCGAGGTATGAGGGGTGGGGGGGAAGAGCATCAGGTCTGCCTGGCTTTGTCTCCCCGGTTTTTAGGTTTGCACATCCACACGAGGTGCTCGCTTTATGCCGAGTCAACTTAAGGCAGGCCCAGGGCAGCTTCAGGTACCAGTAATACCAATAAATGTTATCCACGGGCAGGAATCGTAGCACAGCGACTCAAACCACGAACCTATAGCAGCCCCTCCCTACGACACGCACGCAATAACCTGGGGTCTTTGGGTTGTAATCATTAATGCAGGCAATACTAGCTAATGTAGAGTCAGCTGCAGACCGTGGGTTGCATGCAGGGTGCTATGCACACACAATAAATTAATCGGGACATTTTTATTTCATCGATTGCGCTGGGACAAATGATTCATTTAACGGTAGGCCGCAGTTCAAAACGACCGCGCGCTCGGCCTTTTGTAGAATGTTGTGGTCTCCCGCCCGCTCTCATATCTCGCCCGCTAACACAGACTTTGTTCTGGGGGTTCCCTCCCCCCTCTCCCTCCCATTGTTTGCTCAAATGTAACTTCTTTCTTTTGGTGTTGTAGTTTGAACCGCGCTCGGATAGATGTTATACGAGGCCTCGAGACTTTCGCAGATAACTCTTCTCGCCTGTGTTAAGGGAAAGCAAGCGGCGTTGGGCTTGATAGCGTCGAGTGATTTACGGCCGTTTGATGCGACGCGGGTTTGCCGACCCAGGCGGCCATGCTGAGATCACCCTCGTGTGGTTGTTTTAAAGGAAAATTTTCCCAAAACCAAAACCTCCAGAATGTCGTTGCACATTGCCTAACCTGTCAAGGTTAACATCATCTTGGACATCCCCCCCTCCCCCGTTAGCACCACGCCTCGCCGAAGCCACCTTCTCTCTAGCAGATCCCACAGTTGTTGTGAAGTTGCTCTTCCAGTATCCGACCATATCAGTCCGGTGCTTGCTGAGCTGCATTGGCCTTCGGTTGCTGAACGAATGCGTGATCAGGTCGCACTCTATTGCCCTTGTTTATTTGAGCACTTGATGGTTTCCTATTTAACTGACACATTATTTGGCGATGCGGCTCTTGCTGCGTTGGCAGTGGCTCGCACAAGCACAGTTAACAAAAGAAAAAAACGTAACGCATTCATCAATAAGACTGTGGCCTTATAATAAAAAATATATAAACCATAGGTGACGTTTTGAGCGGTGACCCTTCACGATTGAACAAAATGCATCTGCGCACCCGATGCCCTGTCAAGCACCTTGCTCGCGGCTTCCTGCCAGCATCTTGGATGACTCCGCATCCATCCGCCAACCCCCCCCCTCCCCCCCCCGTGCAAACCAAATTGTATTGCTTGTTGCCACTGCGCAACACCCAGGCGATCCCCAACCGATATGGTCACCGTGCAAAGCGGCTTCCCTGCTATGCGGTTGCGTGGTGGCCCCACCCCCTTCCCGCGTTAGTCCCCACCCAGGTTGCGCTCCGGCTGCTGCGCCACCCGGCGAGATTGGGCGCTGATGAAGCCGTGAGCAGATTTGTGCAGCCGCCAAATGTTGCGCTGCTGTCTGGGCATGCCGCGCGTCTGTCGCAGGAGAAGGCAGAACTACCACTGGTTTGACAATAACGCTGCCCGTGAAAAGAAAGAACGAAAATATTTAATCGGAGACAATTTGGCCCACTGGTCCTTCGTTATAGCACATGTGCAATTAACAAGTGCTGTTGCCCAAAATGTTCCCCCATTATATAGTTTTCCTTTCACGGCACTGTCATTGATGAATGTGTGGTGTTTATTATTTGTGCTTGTGCACCACTGCCAACATAGCAGCACCAAGTAAATAGTTTACCATCAGTTTGGTGGAATTTGGGTGTGCGCGTTCGTGCGTGCGTGTGTCTGTGGGGAGCGGTAGTGTAGCGGTCGACATCGGTGACTATTATCTAAACTGGTCCTGGGCCTTCCCTACGTCGACTTGGCCTCAAACGAGTTCCTTGTGCGATGTGTAAACATCGTCACTGGGGAGACAAAGGCGGTCGGGCATGGTGCTGGCCACCCACCTCATGTACCATTCCGGCCTTCATAGGTGCTACTCGCTAATAGCACTTGTCCCAACAATCTGTTGAAGGCTATTCGGGGGATCTTTATGTGCGTGTGTGTGTGCATGCGTGTGTGTGCGTGTGTGCGTGTGTGTGTGACCCTGCGTGTGCTCATACCCCTGGCAGCTGCTCTTGCGGCAGACACTTGCGTTCTCTTTCCATGATGGGTGGCCTTGCAGATAGCAGCCAAGCAGCTCTTAATGACTAATGCAGTCACTTACCCGTTCTATTGATCATTTTACGCAGCTTTGAAACAGAAGTTTCCTAATGCCGCTTTAAGCAAATAAAACTCGGCACAAAGGATTTTTTTTATTATGTATTATAACGTGACGTTTGTATCAAGTGTTTCTCTGCAGATAACGCAGGTTCCCGCCATAGTAATATGGAATTACCACTTCTATCGAGGGGCCACTAAAGGAGGCTAGCACTTGCCACTTTAAGCATGGAGGAGATGTCGACGTTTCCTTGGGCTCGGCACTCTGGTCTCCCTTGTCAATGAATTCCTTTCTTGGGAGCCAACTGAAACAGAAGATCTCAAGCGGGTGATCTGGGAGGCATCCATTGAAAATTAAAATGTATAAATATAGAGTGGAGCACTAGGAAGTTTCCTAAACAAAACAAATCGCGCTTGTTAGTGACGGTCGCAGCCCTCTGCCACGTGGTGCACGCGCGCTCGCACTCTCTCGTGAGGAGCCACAGTGCTGCAGGTTTGTGCCCTGCACTGCTTTGAAAGCAAACCTGGGTTCGATTCCCAGCCATGTGCATCAATGGCAAGCACTCTCCGGACCTGTAATAGGTGACCCAGCCTCAAACAGGCACCCGGTGGTGTGCGTAAACATTGCCGCCACTGAAGGATTTCCTTGTGCCGGCGTGTTCGTGTTTTTGTTAAGCTGTTTTGTTTATTAATCCGCTTATGTTAACCCATAAATATTATCTCTCCCGAGACCTGCTAGTAGCCATTGAGACTCCTCCATTCCACGTAGACCTAATGTGGGGAGCGGTGGTGTAGTGGTTAATGTGCTGCGCTACGAACCTGGTGACCCGGGATCGATTCCTGCTCACGGCCAACACCAGTGACGATTATTTGAACCGGTCCTGGGCATCCCCTAGGTCGACTCGGCTTCAAATGAGTACCCGGTGCAGTGTGTAAACATCGCCGTTTGGGAGACAAAGGTGGCCGGGTGTGGTGCTGGCCACCCACCCCCTCGTGTGCCGTGCTGGCCTTCATAGGTGCTCGCTAACAGTATTTGCCCCAACAGTCTGTTGAAGCTACACGGGGGATCTTTTTGTGTGCATGCGAATGGATAGGGTTGTGTAGCGGCTATCGCGCTGCGCCACGAATCCGGCGACCCGAGTTGGATTCCCGGTCACGGCCACCAACACCAGTGACGGTTATCTGAACTGGTGCTGGGCCTCCTAGGTCGACTCCACCTCAAAATAAGTACCTGCTGCGATGTTTAAAACATCACCACTGGGGAGACAAAGGCGGTCCATTGTGGTGCTGCCCCCCCACCCCCTCGTGTGCCGTGCCAGCCTTCATAGGGTGCTGTGCTTTACAGCACTTGCCCCAAAAGTTTGTAAGGGCTATACAGGGGGGGGAGCTTTGTACGAGTCAAAGCACGCGCTCGCGTAGCGTGCTGGTCTTAGTCCGTGCTCGCTAACCAGCTCTGTGTGCCCCCCTTTCCTAGCGATCCATGTACAGTGCTGAACGGTGGCGTGTGTCCTTGTGCGCGTGTGTCTGTGTGTGGCGTGCCCGTCAGAAATAGCATGGAGACCTACTGCCTGCACATCGCCGAGGACGACGGGGAGGTGGACGCCGACTTTCCGCCGCTCGACGCCACCGAGCCGATCCACAAGTTTGGCTTCAGCACGCTAGCGCTGGTGGAGAAATATACGGCACTCGAGCAAGCGAACAAGCAGTCACTCTTCGTCAAAATGTACGTCCGCGTGCCCGGTGGTCCGCCACGTGCACTTGTATCGGGCGCATTCACACACGTGGTCACGCTCACCCCTGCCCGGCCGCCGTTGTCTCCCCAGAGCCGATTGTTTACACACCGCACCAGGTACTCATTTGAGGCCGAGTCGACTTTGGGGGGAGGCCCAGGACCGGCTCAGATAATCATTGCCGGCGTTGGCCGTGAGTAGGATTCGAACTCGGGTCTCCGGGTTCGTGGCACAGCGCTAGCTGCTACAAAACCAATCCCCATGCTCACACACATTCACACGCACGCACAAACACGCTTATACTCAAAGACTCCTGTATAGCCTTTAACCTGACTCTTGTGGTAACTGCTGTTAGCGAGCACCTATATGAAAGCCAGCCCGACACATGAAGGTGTTGGGTGGCCAGCACCAAACGCGGCCACTCGTGTCTTCCCAGTGCTTGATATTTTACACGCCGCACCAGGTATTCATTTAAGACTGAATTGACTTAATGATGTTGGCCCATTGCGGTTTGTAGTGCAGCATGCTGACCACTTAACTACCGCTTCCCCCTCGCACAACCGCCATTCACCACTAAGTGGTAGTGACGTCACCTCAGCTCTTGTGCCGTGATAGGTGTACCTTGAGGCCACACACCCACGCACTCGTACACAAATACAAAGATGCTTGCAAAGTCACGCACAACACGCATGCATCAACATACACGTATGTCCACACACACACTTACACACCGCATTTGGTTCTGTTAGAGGGTGACCTCTGCAGGCCAAGATCAAGATGGCCCAAACAGCAGTGAAGCAGATGCAGAGCAAGCTGCAGGAGCTATGCTGTTGTGGCTGATTCCACAGTGTTGTTCTCAGAGGATGTTCGTAGGAAAATGCCGCTGGTTGTGAAACTGATATGGAGCACATCTGCCAAAGTTTGGCGCAAAAGCAATGTTAAAGTGACGCAATAAGCTACATGTTAATGGCCAAATCAAACGGCACGCTTCCAATCTCGTTCAGTCACGGAAGCTGAGCGGGGTTGAGTCTGGATATGTGTTTGGAAGAGCGACCACCATGCATAACGGGTATTATAGCCTGCAGGGCTTCTGGTGAGCAGTACGGCGAAATAAATTGTTGTGCTCTACTTCTATTCTCCCCACATTTATACTCCCTGGCTTTTACCAACCTCCACCGACCAGCATGGTGACGTATGTTGAAGTAACCTCCCAGCTACATGCACGGTGTGGGCGGGGCCCTCATCCAGCAGTGGATTGACAGTGAGCTGTAGATGTTCATGAACGGATGAGCAACATGCTCGTGGGATTACAAAAGCGGCTTTTGGGGGGTGGGTGGGGGGGGACACCCCGGCGCAGCTTTCGTTGAGATCGGATTCGGCCCGAAAACCCAAGCGGTCGGTGTCTGTGTCGCCGCGTTTAACTGTACCATCTCATCACCATTCCCGCGCTGCTCCGGCTCCTTCCCTGGTCATTCTTCTTAATTCCGGAGTTAACAAATCTCTTGCTTCCAAGGTCGACACAAGCTCATTCAGCCGTCTCTGTTGTGACAGGCCGTCACTCATTCGCGCATTCACATACTACTCATGGCCCCCTATTCATTTTTACTTCTTGACTCTTAAACTATTGAACTCCAGGCGTGTGTATCGGTGTGTGCGTGCTCGCGTGTGTTTTTTTTTTAACTTGTGATCTTGGAAAAATCTACAATTCTACTTTCTCATTTTTCTTGGAACGTGCAACATTGATGCGTAATATGCTCAAGGTAAATATAATTTTTGTTTTAAATCTTCATTTCACCATTTAAAGCGACGTGTGTTCACTGTAGAAATATGTTGAATGCATTCATTCCAAACTGGCAACCAAAGGATTCTCTATTTTATTTAGTTGGCATATTACAGACCGATATGATTGCACGAGCAGTCGTATTGCTGCTGGAACTCTCGGACAATAGTATTGGCAGACTTCTGCCGTTCGCTGTGGTTATGTTCGACACTGGAGAATATGCACAGCTCTGGAGCGCGCTCTGTGCGATCTCTGCGTTTCCCATTTCAGTGTTGCTCACACCGTCAAGGTCAAAGTACTCGCTCGGACGAGCATGGGGCAGCAGCGCTTATCCCCCACCACCCATTGGTGCCTCTGAGCCAGCGGTGGAAATTCCCCATTCGTATGGCAGCGGGTTGAACCACCTTTTAAGGATGAGGGACGTCACTCGTCTTTCCACAAGGCACCGCTCGTTTTGTCAGTGACAATTGTGATGTGGCTGAGTCGCCCCCGCCACCGAAATTGGAACTGTTATCCACATACCACGGCAACGCCGCTTGGTTTTTAATATATTCCAGTGTGGGCGGGGGGGGGGAAGGGGCGGGATAAAAAAAAAATCAACAAAAATCTAAACAATATGGAAAGAGAGGTGCGTTATAGCCGAGCTCCTCCCTGGTTTAATCAGCCGGGCAAAGGTGACCGCGTTGTGACGCACACCGCGGGCCAGGCACGCGGCCCTGCGACGGCTACAAATGAATGCCCATCCCGAGGGACCAGGAACCAGGTTTTGGGCTCCCGCGGAGGCGAAGAGAATTGGATTACGGCCTCCGAGCAGGGAGCGCATTACGCCGGGCCTCCGTGCCAGAGATCGGTCACCACTTTGGCCGCCAGCAGCAGATTGTTGTTGGCCTTCCGACACCCGCGTGTTTATTTATATTTTGCTTGTGTTTTATTGTTGTTTTTCTGCTGCCGTTGCTTTAAAGTCCTCTTGCTGTGCACGTAACTTATCGTGGACCTTTTGACACGCAAGTAAAATGCGGCTGCCCTTGGCGGCGTGTGATTCGGCTGGAATGGAACACGGGCCACTTTTGTTTCGGCGTTAGAACTGCCCGCTAAAAAGTATTTTCTTTCCGACATGCGCATCGTTCTCGTCCCGCCCGTTTATACGTCGGGGGCACGCGACTTGTGTGTCGTGACCTCCGCGGGAGCGTTTGTTTCCATTTCAGACGCTTGTCTAATTGTGGCCACATTTAGAATCCATGTGAATTATATTGTATTGCTTAGTGAAGCAAACATGACATTCTGAAAATGAAATTTGACATTACAGACCTTCAAAGGACCTCTCTTGCATATAAAGGGTTAACCTTACAGAACCATCCACAGCGCTGTCTTAAGTTGCACAGATGATTGGCTTGTTATGTGCTTGGAGCAAACACGCACACATAAGTGCTTGTAGAAGGGGATAACACGGATAAAAAATCCTGCATTCGTATTCGAAGCTATACTTGCTGCACTGCATCCTGCAGAGCAGGCGTGTTTTACGTGCACATGATGACGTTGGTGTGCTGCTCCAGCCCTGCCTGTGGATGTGAATGTATGCTTGCTATACGTCACACCTCGTGGTGTGTAAGATACTGGAAGGGTATTTCATTGAAGGCCTTTAAACACCAAACTAAAGTTCCCCCTTTTGTTTTGTCACTTCCAGACTTGCCATCAAACATCTAACCTCCGTCTTTCCGTCTCTCTGCCCCCCCCCCACTGGTTTGCGAACGATGCGCGTGCAGCAATGTACCCCACAGTGGGTTCTCTCTCATCCAAGTGGATAACCTCAACGTGTCGATGCGGGAGATCCTGCAGAAGTCCATGAAGAAACGCAAGGGAAGCTCGGCCTGGACGGGTGAGTCGACGCCACCGCCACCCACAGAACCGCCGCCCAATCTTACGGCGTTCGCTCGAATTGCCCTCCTTTGTCGAACGTAGTTTGAGAGTCGGGTCCCGCACCTTTAACACCAGGGCTCTACGACACATTCGGCCGCTATTGAGTCGTGACGTAACCAACACGGTGGCGTGTAGCATCGTATCGACGAGGCTCCATTATTGCAATTCGCTTCTCTGCGCGACGGGTGGCCAAAACATTACCAGGCCGCACGTGCCGTGATGGGTACTGCAAGATCCGACCGTGTCCGTTCAGTGTTCGCCGAGCTGCATCGGTTTCCAAATACATTAACACATTCCTGCGGAGGGAGCTGGTAGGAACGTTGGGTTGCTCGGTCAATGGCCAGGGTCAACGGCGGCGTGGTGTATTCCGCAAATATGGCCGACTGTGAGGGCGGGCACAAGCCGGCGTGAGTAGGTTAAACGTTAAGTTTTATTATGGCACCACGGGGTGACCAGCCCCTCCCCACCCAGCCCCTCCCCACCCTCCCCACCCAGCCCCTTCCCACCCTCCCCTCCCCACCTAGCCCCTCCTCACCCTCCCCTCCCCACCCAGCCCCTCCCTCCCCACCCAGCCCCTCCCTGCACGACGGATGGACGGACACAATACTCCCCTGTGGGCTGGTGTAACCAGGAGGTTCCTACCAGTATAAGGTCGCGCTCATTACACACAAAGTGCTTGCCACAGATGAACCACAGTCCCTCACTGATCTCGTCAAGGAGCATAAACCTTCACGCAAACTTCGGTCATCCTCGCAGCGGCTTTTGACGAGCCATTGAACAAATACGGTTGCCGCATCGTGGCGACCGTCTGGAATGTTCTTCCTTCCAATATTAGGAAGCCACTGGGGGTTATGCACTTTGAAATTTATATTGAAAACTCATTTCTTTAGAACTGTTTTTTTGCGTTTAGTTTGTTGTTCTTCCTGCGCACCACCGATTATCACCGGTTGATTATATACGGTGCGAAAGAGGTTCAGCATACAGAGGGCACGTAGGCTCATTAGCCCTCTCTCTGTAGAGCGGAATGTTGGATATACTGCATTTATATGGGTTTTTTTATATAATAAAGTCCTCTACTTGCATTGTGAAGGATGCAAATTCAACCTCCCGGGCCACATTGTGTCCTCGCCACGCCCGTCCCTAGTTCCGCCCAAAGTCAAGTCAAAGTGACTTCTTCTTGGTTCTTTCGGTAAAGTCACGTAGAAGGGAAATAATAACTAATAATAAAACATAATAAAATAAAAATTCTCACGACGTTTCGGCCACAACACAAGCAGCCGTCCTCAGGTGAAGAAACAGAGCTGTCGGAAAGACAGCGTCCCAATGAACACCGCCAAGCTTGGTAGCGTATATTTTAGCTGTGTCGGAGGAGGAGAGCGCCTTGACAAAGTTTGCATATCAACAGCGGAATTAAGCATATTGATGGAAAATGCAGATATGGGATTAGTGACTCCTTGTGGAATGTGTAGGTGGTGGGGGGGGGGGGTCAAAGTCATATTATGCTAGTGTATTATGTAGGATTAGCAGTAATAAAGGGAGGAAGTAGGATTAGCAGTAATAAAGGGAGGGAAACTTTAATCGTAATTTGTGCTTAATTCCGCTGTTGATATGTAAACTCCTTTGTCAAGGCACTCTCCTCCCCCCAACCCAGCTTAAATATACGCTGCCAAGCTTGGCGGTGTTCATTCGGACGCTGTCTTTCAGACAGCTCTGTTTCTTCACCTGAGGACGGCTGCTTGTGTTGTGACCGAAATGTCGTGAGATTTTTTATTTATAATGTTTTATTTTTATTATTTTATTATTTCCCTTCTACGTGACTTTATCGAAAGAACCAAGAAGACGAATCCCTGCAGTCACGAAATTCTTAAATCGAAAATCAAAGTGACTTCCTGCTCAAATGAACATTGCGGAGGTGCTCCACTCTCATAACTCTGAACCAGTGCTGGAAATTCTACGTTCCTATGGTCGGGGTCGAGTATATCCATAGGACGACCACTGTTGACGTACCCACGAAGTGGTATGCGTTGTATCAACTCTGGAAGGATGATGGGCTGAGTCAACCCCCACTGGAGCGTATCAAAGGAATACCAACGGTGGTGTCCTGTGAAGCGGTCGCTCGTAGAGTTTCAGCATTGTGGGTGGTTGCGTTTAATGTCTGGAGTGATGTTGTTTTCCCGAGTTTTTCTATTTTTGGAAGTACAGATTTATTGAAAATAATCACTGCATTTTTTTGTTTTACTTCAAAACCCATCCACAAATAATTATGAGGTGCATTGACGACTCTTAAAGTCGATGTTATGTAATGCTGTGATCTGTCATGTACAGCTGTGCCCTTTTCTTTGCCCTTCTCCCGAAATCTGAAAATTGCCAGCAATTTTAACGACAATTTTCTTACGAAACTGCGGGGGTTTTTTAGATTCAGCTTGAGCAGGAATGTTTAAAGGTCATTACGTGTCTTTCGTTAATAATTATCCGTATTTATTGCTGATTATGTCCAATAAATTCGTGCTTGTGAGAATAAATACTCGGGAAAACAACATCCCTCTTTATCCTATGCAGGCAGATAGAGCTGGTTAACAGGTGGACATTGTCTGCTCTGTTTCAGCATCATCCACCCACACTGCCTCGACGTAGATGCAATCCGTGTGCACAACCGCTGTCATCCCGTGAAGTTTGTGGCGTTGGAGTGAGATGAACCTCTTAAGTATGTACGTTGAACTTCTTTTGCACCGTACGTAGCCAACCGTGCTAATCAGAGGAGGTGCGGGGGAAGGACAACAAACCAAACACAATAAGCAGTTCTAAAGAAATGCGTTTGCCAATCGAAAATTCAAAGCATTTCTCCAGTTGCTTGCTCATATCGGAAAGAATTTGCATCCCAGATGGCTGCAGAAGCGCATCTGAAAGTGCGTGATTTGGTCACCGTCTTTGTTCGATGGTTAGCCAAAAGCCAGTGCTGCGAGGATGACCAGAATTTGCGTGACGATGGTTTATGCTCCTTGATGAGAAAAGAGATGCCCAACAATAGCTCACGTTATTTTATTCTGGAAATGCCCAATGAGTCTCAAGACACGTTTTCAGGAGGTACCTTCAGTGGGATATTTGTCCAAATATATTTACGAGTATTTGGTGTGAGGAGAAAATGAGTACCCAGATAAAAAAAACTAAAGACAAAGATCCCCCGTTTCGCCTTAACAGACTGTTGGGGCAAGTGCCGTTAGCTAGCACCATATGAAGGCCGGCACGGCACACAACAGGGTGGGTGGTGAACACTACGCCCGGCCGCCTTTGTCTCCCCAGAGGCGATGTTTACACCGCACCAGGTACTCATTTGAGGCTGAGTCAACCTCGGGGAGGCCCAGGACCGGTTCAGATAATCGTCACTGGTGTTTGTCCGTGAACGGTAATTTAATCCAGGTCGCCGGGTTGGTAGCGCAGTGAAATAATCGCTACGCTATCGCGCTCCCCCCTACCCAGATAAATCCACGTACATACATGCGTACGTACGAATGTGAGAACCAAACTCTGTTTAAATTCCTTCTGTATGGTGGCCTCCTAATCTCTGGACAAACCGAGAATTGTTTTTGGGATCAAAACCTCCCCATCCTTGTCGTCTACTGGAAATCACTTTCGTACCTCAGAATTCCTTTCACGTTTGCCTGCAGTCGGCAACTCTGCTTTGCAGACTTTAAGTTATAAACGCTTTTTCTTTTTTACAATATTACCAACCTCTGCTGTTTTTCACCCAATATTTTTCTGTACGTAATGCGTCCTACCAGCCTTTGTTGTATTCTCTGCTGGTTGTAACGTGATGTGTTGATGCACGACCTTGCCATTCGGAACTTGTCCATGCTTTTTGCCGTAACCAAGTTTCTATTGTGGAACCAGCTCCCCGTAAATAATTAGCATTTATTTCCCAATGGGTTTTTACCCGTGCCAAAAATGAAACCATAAACAAACTAATGAGGGGACTGATCCTCAAAACGCTGTACAGATACTCAATAATCCATTATTCTCCTGGCCACCTTGCATTATGTGGAATAGCTTCAAGGAAACTTCATTTCTGTGACATCGACAGTTTTTTTTTTCCGAAGGACATCAACTTCCTCACTTTCACCTATTGCTACTTAATTTAATGATCATGGAGAAGTGGTGAGCTGAAAATCACCCCTGGCTAGGATTTGAACTCGTGATCTTTTTCAACTCGGAGTCGATCGCTCCAACCACACTCTACATGGCTTGCTCGGTAGAGGAGTAATTTTTGTCAATAATCCCTCACCTGGTTAAATATAGAATGGAAGCTCAATTGATTTACCTCGGTATTTGAATAAATTCGTCATGAGGCTGCCATGCCTTCTGCCAATACAGTACGTTTTGGATTTATGGAGAATATAAATGTGACCACAGCTCAAGACGCTGAACAGAGACATAGACGAATGTGACCAGGGAAAAAATAGATGTCTTTATTTATATATATTTTAGGAAAGACAGAGAGGCGTAGTAGACTCCTGGGTAGAGAAGGGATAGGGTAGAGCTCGTGTCCAGAAGAGCATTTGTGCTCCATGGTTGATGGACTCACCTGCAAAAGGGCTTTGTCTAATTTGTTCCACCTTGGGAGCCTTTTTTTTTTAAGCCTTCGAGCCGGATGTAATTTGGGTGATTGGCAGGGTGCCCCAGCTGACGGCCTGGTTTCGTGTTCCAATTAAAGAATTCGCAGCTGGAAGGTCATGTCGTCAGGTGACCCGTCGTAAGTTGCCCGCTTGGAATCTCAAGTCCTACCCGTGTTAGACCCTTGAAGCTTATTGTATTTCCTCGCCTAACAAGCCGAGCAAGGCCAATCTATTGAATGAGTCTTGATGAAGGTTGGCATGCCAACGTCATTTTATTTATTATTATTATTACGTGGACACATGGATGTTAGCTTGTCTCTGGGCACTAATGTGTGCAGCTTGTGCCCAT